TAATTATTATTCTTGCTGGGTTTCTCTAGCCATTTCACAGTACAGTCATGGTGTTGCATTTGATCCTCAGGTACCAGATACCCATAAACTCCCAAAGGTAGACACAGTCATAGTCCTAGCCACACACACACTACATTTTCAATCTCCCATGAGGGAGCCACTCTCCTAAGCAAACAGTGTTGGATTACTGAATTCCAGCACAAAGGCTTGTGAGATACTGTTATTTATGAAAAAAAGATAAAGACGTCAATCATTTTGTGTTATTCCAGACAAGAGCACTGTCCAACATCACCAGTGCAGTCAAGTGCAAGTCATCAAATGTCAGACAAACGCACTTTGCATGAACAGTTTCCAAAAGCAACAAAGAAGGTAGACAGTTTTCATAATAATTACTTCTGTTTTAACAATACTTTGCAAAGGGAATCTATAACATTATAAACCCATCTTGGCCATAATGGTTGAATGTTAGTTAGTGTTTTGAACTAACCATTTTAACATGCCGGTAGTTATACATGCATTGTAAAATTAGATAAATACTTTGCACAAATTAAGCTTGACTGTCTAAGTGTGCCTGTTTTAACTCAACATTTTGAGCATTATTTTTTACTTTGTAGTGGAGTCGCACAGTCATGTGGTTTTGTTTCACTAATTTGATTATTAACAGTAGTTCAAAATGTTACCTTATAATAAATTTTTCATTAGTTAGCTTTTGTTTACATATTGATGGCACAACTGTAAAATAATAGTAGATAGTGCTGAAGAGTAGCATGATGTCAGCCTTTAGAAGTCTTATTGTCTTGGAACCAGCTTTTGTAGCCTCCAAACAAACCCATTCATGTAGTGATTCAGAAGACTGGGAAGGGGTACATGACTTCTCAATTTAAAGGATGTTGTTCTGTTGTACTGAATTGACGAATCACGTTAATGAGATTTTGATTTTTGTGTGCTTCCTATTCATAAACAACTTAAGAAACAAATGTGCAATTAAATAATTCCTTTTTATTTTTACATCAGGATGATAAGGAATGGCAGTTTTCAACTGAATTCCTGCTGTCTGTGACTGTGTTCATGGTTATGGTTGGCTTGGCCTCATTGAGATGACTAAATGACCTGGACAAATAAACCACTCCATGGCTAGAGGCTCATTCCTGAAGAAGATTCAAGTTCAACATGCCCTACCTAAAGAGAATGGAGCTCTAGACCTTTTAAGTTAAAAGTGCTCTTGGCATGAAGTAAGAGGAGAGGACTGCTGTAATATTTATGAGGAAAGCTAGAAGGAAAAAAAAAACATTGTTGGACTATAAATGTACAACATCCAGTCTCACATTCAGTCTTTTTACAGGCTTCTTAGGGGAATTGTGGGCAATATTGTATTGTTTGCAGTGGAGAGCATCATCAATTGATAACATCATTGTGTAGTTCCAGAAAATGTCCATACCTTCCCCACAGAAGGGAATTTTTCCTAAGTCCCCCCACCCCTCTGGAAATTCCAATTGAGCTTCATACATTTCTTTAAATTTTTTGGTCTTACAGAACCCCCCACCCCCCAGGAAATTCCAATCCCTTCTGTGAGGGGAGTATGGATATTTTGTGGAACTGAACATTGTTAAACATAGTTGAATGGAATCTTTCGAGACTTAAAGAAGTCTTCTTTCCAGATCTACCCTGACTATTATTTTGTGCAGAGTGGCAGTTGGTTGTGAGATACTGTAAAACTGGAAGTTATAACAGACACATGATGCCTAATCCATATGGCTCATTTATGGGCTTATTTCCTTGGCCTGCAGGCTGATGAACTGGCTTCCAATACATAACACTTTCCAAGGTATTAGAAAATAAATTAACTGACAATGGAAGCGACATTTGATAGTAAAGGTATCTTGATACAGGCGTTTTTTTTACCAGTCTAAACAGATGAACACTATTTTGATTAAATCTTCAAAATACTACCAATTCAATTCAATTCAATTCTTTATTTACACTATATAGAGCATTTAGATATTTAATAAGGTAACGGAAAATAAAATAAAAGCAAATAAAGTTTGTATATGAGCCGTAACCAAAGTAGTAAGGACTTTCTGGTTGGACACCATCATGGTCAAGTAAATGGCAGCATAAATGTGACTTGAAGTTACGCTTTGTTGTCATGAAAGGTTTCCTGATTTTCTTCCTTACGATCAGAACAACAAGACTTTTCTTAACTCGCTAAGAGTTATAATTTTGGGGTAACTCTCTTTGATGTGAACGACTGCAGAAAATGGAATATTTTATAAATAGCCCTAGAGTAACTGAAGTACAGACGGGTTTTTATTCTTACAATTCAGTCCCATAGTTCAGCTAAAGAAGAAACAAGCAAAGTTACAGAATGAGTGCTATCTAACTTCTTTTCCATCAATAGGGCATCTGTTTGATGTGGTGCTTAACCATGTTCTTATGCAATGATCATGAAAATGATGACCACAGGCGAGAAATCTCCTCACTTCTCCAGAGATATAGTCCTCTATGCAAATACTACAGATATCATATGTTGCAATTGTTACATTATCCGACTGAAGACTGTCAATCTTGGCCTTGGATAATGTCTTAGACTTAACAGAACAATCCAACTGGACAAGTAGGTCATAATCCTCTGGAGTAATCTCACGGTCTTGAAGCTCAATTAGCAGATTGATGAATGACTGATCATCAAATTTAAAAGCACTGTTCCCTGAACCGAGAACAAAGTCAGAATTGTTGTAAAAGGAGGGTGGGCTCACAGTTTCGTTACTTTCTGGGGTTGTTTTCTTTGCAGAGTTCCTCAGGCAGCTTGAAAGAGGTTTTTTCTCACTCTCAGACACACCAGTTCCCTTCACTTTCTTTGCTTTTGTGTTATTTTCTCTCTTCATTCTTGAATTCTCTATCCTCGAGTTCTTAATCCGCTGTTCTTTACAACTTGTACCGGCCTCACTGTCATAAACGCGCTTGCAAATTGTTTTTGACGAGGGAAGCGCTACCTTCAAATTTCGTGGACTTTTTCCTTTAGTCCTCAGTCCAGCTGATTGCTTCTTTCCTCCATTTCGCCTTAAAATCTGTCCATGCTTTTGATCGTAGAAATCTAATTCGTCCGGGCAGTAGGATGGCAAGCCATTCTCTTCATCAGATGAATCAAACTCGTCCTCGAGGGACACTACATCAATAATTTCGTTATCTTCACGCTTTGGACGATTATAATTAAGAAATGGCAACACCACATGCACCTCCTCGCCATGTTGGTTAAACAAGTCCTGTTCGGCTTTGGCTGCGAGAACTGGCTCTGCCATGACAAACAAACAGAAATATTCAGCAAAATATGTCTACTAAAGGAAATTGGGAGAAAAATTAAACTAAGGAGGATTTTATACCTGTACAAGTCCAGAAATTACATCAACGAGATAAAAATAGCAAACTTTCAGACTGTGGTGCAATGGTCTTCACCAGTGACTTCTCGGTCAAGAATGAGAGAAAATTCCAATTCCTGGGGATGACTTCATCGAAGTCGATCCAGTCTATCGCGGTCTCCCGCTCTTCAAGGAACAAAATGGCGGAAAAATTGTGCTGACGTTAGGTGTTTTGATCTCGGTACTTTTAGCTAATCTTAAGCTCTTCATTAACTCTATGTATTCCAACTTTATATATTTCGCAATCATATTCGACCAGTCCACGATGATCTCAAGCAATGGTTAGCAATGAGTTCTCAAGAGCTGACGGCAGAGCTCGAAGGTGAACGTATTCGAGAGGAAAAACAGCAATCTTCAGTGACAGAAAATGAAGAACAATTCAAAGGTCCGAGATTTTATCCACCTGTATACCGTCGAAGGTACGCTGCAGTATGTGAGCTGGTAAAGAAACATCAAGCAAAAAGGGTACGGTAAATGTTATGCTTTGACCAGGCGTCTCTTTAGTTTACCGGACACAAACTCAATAAGCTTTAAGCTAAAAATAGGAGCAGGAAAAAATACCGCCCCAAACAATGTCTTGTTATTCATACACGGTACCCAAAGAAGGACCTTGTTTTTTTAGAAATAACCATTGTCAGCTAGGGGAGGTGGGGGAGTGGGGGATGGGAGGGAGGGTGAAGATGAGAAGAGGATGACGGCAGAGGTGTTTGCCTTTCTATACTCCTGCCACTGCTTTTGCATGACCTCGCATTACTGTTTCTGGTCGCCCCAGATCTCGCTCACGAAACCTCGACTATACAGTGAAACCTGTATTAAGTGACACCCTTGGGACACTCACTAGTGCCCGCTTAATACAGGGTGTTTGCTCTAAACAGGTTCTAATATATTGTGCAATAATAGTTAATTATTAACCCTTTTGTTACACGATGTAATTTAGTGTGAGACCAAAGACTACTCATAGCACAATATCCAGTCTGGCAATGTGTCAATCTGGAATAATCTACTTAGCTTTAAAACGACATCACTGAACAGTGTTAAAGGAGTCTGAGCTGAGATTTTAGAAGTAAAAGGCCCTTGAAGTATCTGTTTTTTGCAAGTTTTGTGCCACAAAATGGGTTGATATTGGTGTCCTTGTCCGCTTAACAGAGGTGTCCGCTGAATGCAGGTTTATTTTACATTAATGTGGGAATAAAATTTAGGTACTCAACCTGGTTTCCACTTAATAGAGGGTGTCTGCTAAATATGGGGTCCACTTAATACAGGTTTCACTGTATTAAATTTCAAAATGGCCACCATTCACAAGTTAAGTCAACTAGACTTAGTCCAGACTATAGGGAGCATTTTTAGTCGAACACAAAATTTTGGGGCAAACTCGAAATAGAAAATTTATAGTGAGTTTAGATGGGAGCAAAGTTGGTGGGGACGAACTCGCTAAGAGGCGAAACCATTATCATTCAGAGAGGCCCTATTAGGGATGCGGGTTATTTGGGTGGAATATTAATGGGATGTGGAGTATTTAGATAAACAAGAAAAAATAGGATATCGATTAGGAAAGTCATTAATTTTTTCAGATATTGGAATTAATAGGATATGGGATATGTAGGCCAAAAAGTAATGAGATGTGGGATACTTAGACCTTCCTGCCCTTCCCTCCTGGGGAGGGCCCAGTTTAGTTTTACTTGCCCTACCGGCTTTTCTTCCTTCAGTCATTTCTTCTTTTTTCACCCAAATTAAGAGGGGGGGCGGGGGGCAGGTCCTAGATCTGCCACTCCCCTAGATCTGCCACTGCCACCCTCCCCCAAATGGAGCCTCATCAGAAATTGCAATGTTGGTATACATGTAAGAGTCCAAAGTCATACATTTCCACAAGAATGTAATGTGTTTCCTCAAAGACCAGCATATTTCATGAACCTGATGTGAATAGAATGCAGAATATTTTTCGCTTCTCTTTATGGCATTAGTATTGCCTATCATAACATTGCGGTGATCACCATCGCCATCTTCATTGTCAACATCATATCATCATCATCATCATTGTTGTCGTTGTCGAGGTTTTTAACTATTTCAAGTACCCATCACAGGTTTTATTTTAGGACTCACTGTATATGGTGATTACCTGCATATAATTAACAAGCTGGTTTTTTCACGATCTTATTCACTGTCCTTTTAAGGCTAGTTTCTGATTATTTCATCAATCCACATGTCTCCAGGTTCTTGATTTTGGTTGTGCTGAGGCAAAACTTGTAAAATCCTTGATAAGTCAAGAAACACTGACTCACTTAGAAGAACTTGTTGGTGTTGACATTGACAGAAAGCTTCTGGAGGAGAACAAATTCCGCATTCAACCTCTAACATCAGATTACCTGAGACCGCGTACACACCCATTCAAAGTTTCTTTGTATCAGGGTAAGCATTACTTATTATTTAACATTATTAACAGAATTATCACATATTAAATGTTTCATTAATTCTACCCAAATCTTTGCATGTTAAACATTTTTTGTGATATCCATCCATCCTGTTCAAGATAGAAATTGTATAGTATAGTGACTAAATAGCTATTATTATGTATTGTGTTGCTTGTTAATATTTTATTAGGTTCCATAGCTGAAGCAGACAAACGATTCATAGACTTTGATGTGATTGCTTGTATTGAACTGTGAGTACCGCACTAAGTTGTTTGGTGACTATGTTGTATTTTGAGGATAGTTAGATGACTTGAATGTTTTCTTCTCTGGATCAATATCATTTTCTCTCAGTTTAGCATAAATGTCCAAGTCTCCTAGTTTAAGAGCACCTTACGAAGGCCTCTTTAGAGTTGTGAAATGTGAAATAGCAAGGAAACTCTCTCCCCTCTCCCAACAAACAGGCAAATAAAATGTACATAAAGCGAGAGAAGACTGCATTGCTCCTGGGGTATAATCTTAATCTGAAAGTTGAGAATGGAAAGCATGTTAAATGATTAGATTATTTATTGAGTTTTTTCAGACTTTCATCAAGGTTGTGTCATATGTTGTATAAAAGATGTCTATTTTTATTTGCAGTTATACTTGTAAACTATGTATAAGATATTGTAAGTTCAGTGGACTCTGGAGTTTTGTTTACTTAGAGCACTGAACAGAATTAAACTGTGCTGTGTTCACACTGGGCATGGCAGCTCACTACCACCTACAGTGCCTCTCTTTACCCAGAAATTTGAATCTGTACCAGCAAACTTATCAAAAGACCTGAAAAAATGCTGCTTAGAGGTGATCTGTAATCGATTATTATCCCATTCAGGGGGAGTAGTAATACTCCTAGTAGTTTCATGGTGATTAAAATGGATATCTTTGAGGACCATCATCAATGACCATCTGGCCCCTCTGATTATTTGTGTTTGAAATGGACTTACCTTATACATCTAAAACAATGGAAGTAAATAATGCAGGTCCTTGAAAGATTTTTGATCATGTGCTATTCTCTTTTTTTTCAGAATAGAACATCTTGAACCAGACATTCTTGATTCAGTGCCTAAGGTAGTGTTTGGTCAACTGTCACCTAAGGTTGTCATAGTAACAACACCCAATGTTGAATTCAATGTCTTATTCCCAGATCTGAAGGGATTCAGACATTATGATCACAAGTTTGAATGGACCAGAGCAGAATTTCAAGAATGGTTAGTTATTGCAATAAATTAATAGTAAGTCAGAGCAGTTTTCTCTAGAGTGTCAAAAGTAACTTGCATTTTCTTTGGGTTTGCATTACTATGCTAAGCAGTTGCCTTAAAAAACTCCTACCACTTTGTCATCCATTCAAAAGTAAATCCAAATCCAATCATGACTCCCTCGTGCACATTTTCCTGCCCTTCATTCCAGATAGATGTATTATTTTGCTTTGAGTTTTGACGGGTTTGCTGCATTGTCTGTGTCCTTTGTGAATGGCCAGAGTGAATTACTTTGGTTCTGGTTTTATGACACTTGATGGACAATCCAAGCTGCTCTTCACTAACCCTAAGATTATCTAATATATCAGAGCTGTTTTCAAACACTTCACATCAATTAAGATCAATGTAAGATAACAATGTATCTTAGTCTGTACATCTGCTTTGTTACCAAATACGTTGAGTATTTCCCCAAAGGACCAGCTTCCCATCCCAAGGCCAGGGAGTAGTGATACTTGTAGTCTCTTAATGCAGACCTTAGGCACAGGACAAGCTGTCAATGATAATATAGCTGCTATGTAGTGCTCACTGAAAGTCATTCTCAGTGATCCAAAAGCAAAGAAAAGTCAAGGCAATGAAAGGACTGGACCGTCTACTTTGAAATTACTTTAATTTTTTTTTGTTAGGTCAAATTCTGTGGCTAGCAAGTACCATTACACTGTAACATTTGATGGCATTGCTCCAGGGCCAGAGGGTACAGAGCACTTGGGTTGTTGTTCACAAGTGGCTGTGTTTGAAAGGATTTCATCTTCTGTTCCAACCAATGAGTCAGGAATAGGGCAGCCTTATAATCTGGTACTACTATTGAACATTCTTGCAAACCAGGGGCATTATTTCTTAATAAATCTTTATTTATTTACTCATCTTTTAAAGTATTCCATGCTGCAGACAATTTAAATGGTTGGAAAGCTGTTGAGCTGCATATTTGTCCATTTTTAACCACCTTGACTCGTCAGTAGAAGGGTTCCAAAGTGGACTATTTGTACTGAGAGCTTTCAACTGTCACTTTTGCTTTGGAGCCCAGAGCCCTGAAATAGTGGGCATCCTGGTAATCCAATGAGCCTTAAGATGCAGTTTTGATTTGCTGGAGTTCTGTAAACCTTGTGTGTTGTAGTCAGCACCTGTGGAGTCCTAAACTCCCTGTAGACTCTTAATTGAAATTACTTTAGAAAATAATTATGTAGCTTTGTTTTGCTATCTAAAGTTTATGAAGTTAATATCATTATTTTAAAGCATTGTTTCCTGTCCCTTTTGTTATTAACATTTAGGTTGCAGAGGTTGAACACCCTTTTAGAAAGGACACAAGAACACAGGAAGAAAAAATCTTGCTTGAGGTGGAATATATTCTTTGGATGTTGTCTTCTGAGGAAGAGGAGGGTGATAACCACTTTGAGACTGATGAAGAATCGATATCTAATGAGACGGACAATGTGGATAGCTATGTTGCAGACGAACTTTGTACTGACTGTGTAACTAGTGATGAAGAAAATAAAACCTGCACGTACTCACTTGAACAACTGCTTAGTTTTCCATCTCTTCTAAAGTTGTGTGGCAACGTGCAAAAACTAAGGTAAGTCGTCAATGCAAGATGCCAGTTAAGGTGGCTTACTACAGTTTAGATGGATTATAACAGCCAGCTTCTAACTCTTTTCAAAAATGTTCCAAGATGTTTTTCCTTTCTCTATTTACTGTTTGCTTAAGTCTTCTACCNTTATAAATAGCCCTAGAGTAACTGAAGTACAGACGGGTTTTTATTCTTACAATTCAGTCCCATAGTTCAGCTAAAGAAGAAACAAGCAAAGTTACAGAATGAGTGCTATCTAACTTCTTTTCCATCAATAGGGCATCTGTTTGATGTGGTGCTTAACCATGTTCTTATGCAATGATCATGAAAATGATGACCACAGGCGAGAAATCTCCTCACTTCTCCAGAGATATAGTCCTCTATGCAAATACTACAGATATCATATGTTGCAATTGTTACATTATCCGACTGAAGACTGTCAATCTTGGCCTTGGATAATGTCTTAGACTTAACAGAACAATCCAACTGGACAAGTAGGTCATAATCCTCTGGAGTAATCTCACGGTCTTGAAGCTCAATTAGCAGATTGATGAATGACTGATCATCAAATTTAAAAGCACTGTTCCCTGAACCGAGAACAAAGTCAGAATTGTTGTAAAAGGAGGGTGGGCTCACAGTTTCGTTACTTTCTGGGGTTGTTTTCTTTGCAGAGTTCCTCAGGCAGCTTGAAAAAGGTTTTTTCTCACTCTCAGACACACCAGTTCCCTTCACTTTCTTTGCTTTTGTGTTATTTTCTCTCTTCATTCTTGAATTCTCTATCCTCGAGTTCTTAATCCGCTGTTCTTTACAACTTGTACCGGCCTCACTGTCATAAACGCGCTTGCAAATTGTTTTTGACGAGGGAAGCGCTACCTTCAAATTTCGTGGACTTTTTCCTTTAGTCCTCAGTCCAGCTGATTGCTTCTTTCCTCCATTTCGCCTTAAAATCTGTCCATGCTTTTGATCGTAGAAATCTAATTCGTCCGGGCAGTAGGATGGCAAGCCATTCTCTTCATCAGATGAATCAAACTCGTCCTCGAGGGACACTACATCAATAATTTCGTTATCTTCACGCTTTGGACGATTATAATTAAGAAATGGCAACACCACATGCACCTCCTCGCCATGTTGGTTAAACAAGTCCTGTTCGGCTTTGGCTGCGAGAACTGGCTCTGCCATGACAAACAAACAGAAATATTCAGCAAAATATGTCTACTAAAGGAAATTGGGAGAAAAATTAAACTAAGGAGGATTTTATACCTGTACAAGTCCAGAAATTACATCAACGAGATAAAAATAGCAAACTTTCAGACTGTGGTGCAATGGTCTTCACCAGTGACTTCTCGGTCAAGAATGAGAGAAAATTCCAATTCCTGGGGATGACTTCATCGAAGTCGATCCAGTCTATCGCGGTCTCCCGCTCTTCAAGGAACAAAATGGCGGAAAAATTGTGCTGACGTTAGGTGTTTTGATCTCGGTACTTTTAGCTAATCTTAAGCTCTTCATTAACTCTATGTATTCCAACTTTATATATTTCGCAATCATATTCGACCAGTCCACGATGATCTCAAGCAATGGTTAGCAATGAGTTCTCAAGAGCTGACGGCAGAGCTCGAAGGTGAACGTATTCGAGAGGAAAAACAGCAATCTTCAGTGACAGAAAATGAAGAACAATTCAAAGGTCCGAGATTTTATCCACCTGTATACCGTCGAAGGTACGCTGCAGTATGTGAGCTGGTAAAGAAACATCAAGCAAAAAGGGTACGGTAAATGTTATGCTTTGACCAGGCGTCTCTTTAGTTTACCGGACACAAACTCAATAAGCTTTAAGCTAAAAATAGGAGCAGGAAAAAATACCGCCCCAAACAATGTCTTGTTATTCATACACGGTACCCAAAGAAGGACCTTGTTTTTTTAGAAATAACCATTGTCAGCTAGGGGAGGTGGGGGAGTGGGGGATGGGAGGGAGGGTGAAGATGAGAAGAGGATGACGGCAGAGGTGTTTGCCTTTCTATACTCCTGCCACTGCTTTTGCATGACCTCGCATTACTGTTTCTGGTCGCCCCAGATCTCGCTCACGAAACCTCGACTATACAGTGAAACCTGTATTAAGTGACACCCTTGGGACACTCACTAGTGCCCGCTTAATACAGGGTGTTTGCTCTAAACAGGTTCTAATATATTGTGCAATAATAGTTAATTATTAACCCTTTTGTTACACGATGTAATTTAGTGTGAGACCAAAGACTACTCATAGCACAATATCCAGTCTGGCAATGTGTCAATCTGGAATAATCTACTTAGCTTTAAAACGACATCACTGAACAGTGTTAAAGGAGTCTGAGCTGAGATTTTAGAAGTAAAAGGCCCTTGAAGTATCTGTTTTTTGCAAGTTTTGTGCCACAAAATGGGTTGATATTGGTGTCCTTGTCCGCTTAACAGAGGTGTCCGCTGAATGCAGGTTTATTTTACATTAATGTGGGAATAAAATTTAGGTACTCAACCTGGTTTCCACTTAATAGAGGGTGTCTGCTAAATATGGGGTCCACTTAATACAGGTTTCACTGTATTAAATTTCAAAATGGCCACCATTCACAAGTTAAGTCAACTAGACTTAGTCCAGACTATAGGGAGCATTTTTAGTCGAACACAAAATTTTGGGGCAAACTCGAAATAGAAAATTTATAGTGAGTTTAGATGGGAGCAAAGTTGGTGGGGACGAACTCGCTAAGAGGCGAAACCATTATCATTCAGAGAGGCCCTATTAGGGATGCGGGTTATTTGGGTGGAATATTAATGGGATGTGGAGTATTTAGATAAACAAGAAAAAATAGGATATCGATTAGGAAAGTCATTAATTTTTTCAGATATTGGAATTAATAGGATATGGGATATGTAGGCCAAAAAGTAATGAGATGTGGGATACTTAGACCTTCCTGCCCTTCCCTCCTGGGGAGGGCCCAGTTTAGTTTTACTTGCCCTGCCGGCTTTTCTTCCTTCAGTCATTTCTTCTTTTTTCACCCAAATTAAGAGGGGGGGCGGGGGGCAGGTCCTAGATCTGCCACTCCCCTAGATCTGCCACTGCCACCCTCCCCCAAATGGAGCCTCATCAGAAATTGCAATGTTGGTATACATGTAAGAGTCCAAAGTCATACATTTCCACAAGAATGTAATGTGTTTCCTCAAAGACCAGCATATTTCATGAACCTGATGTGAATAGAATGCAGAATATTTTTCGCTTCTCTTTATGGCATTAGTATTGCCTATCATAACATTGCGGTGATCACCATCGCCATCTTCATTGTCAACATCATATCATCATCATCATCATTGTTGTCGTTGTCGAGGTTTTTAACTATTTCAAGTACCCATCACAGGTTTTATTTTAGGACTCACTGTATATGGTGATTACCTGCATATAATTAACAAGCTGGTTTTTTCACGATCTTATTCACTGTCCTTTTAAGGCTAGTTTCTGATTATTTCATCAATCCACATGTCTCCAGGTTCTTGATTTTGGTTGTGCTGAGGCAAAACTTGTAAAATCCTTGATAAGTCAAGAAACACTGACTCACTTAGAAGAACTTGTTGGTGTTGACATTGACAGAAAGCTTCTGGAGGAGAACAAATTCCGCATTCAACCTCTAACATCAGATTACCTGAGACCGCGTACACACCCATTCAAAGTTTCTTTGTATCAGGGTAAGCATTACTTATTATTTAACATTATTAACAGAATTATCACATATTAAATGTTTCATTAATTCTACCCAAATCTTTGCATGTTAAACATTTTTTGTGATATCCATCCATCCTGTTCAAGATAGAAATTGTATAGTATAGTGACTAAATAGCTATTATTATGTATTGTGTTGCTTGTTAATATTTTATTAGGTTCCATAGCTGAAGCAGACAAACGATTCATAGACTTTGATGTGATTGCTTGTATTGAACTGTGAGTACCGCACTAAGTTGTTTGGTGACTATGTTGTATTTTGAGGATAGTTAGATGACTTGAATGTTTTCTTCTCTGGATCAATATCATTTTCTCTCAGTTTAGCATAAATGTCCAAGTCTCCTAGTTTAAGAGCACCTTACGAAGGCCTCTTTAGAGTTGTGAAATGTGAAATAGCAAGGAAACTCTCTCCCCTCTCCCAACAAACAGGCAAATAAAATGTACATAAAGCGAGAGAAGACTGCATTGCTTCTGGGGTATAATCTTAATCTGAAAGTTGAGAATGGAAAGCATGTTAAATGATTAGATTATTTATTGAGTTTTTTCAGACTTTCATCAAGGTTGTGTCATATGTTGTATAAAAGATGTCTATTTTTATTTGCAGTTATACTTGTAAACTATGTATAAGATATTGTAAGATCAGTGGACTCTGGAGTTTTGTTTACTTAGAGCACTGAACAGAATTAAACTGTGCTGTGTTCACACTGGGCATGGCAGCTCACTACCACCTACAGTGCCTCTCTTTACCCAGAAATTTGAATCTGTACCAGCAAACTTATCAAAAGACCTGAAAAAATGCTGCTTAGAGGTGATCTGTAATCGATTATTATCCCATTCAGGGGGAGTAGTAATACTCCTAGTAGTTTCATGGTGATTAAAATGGATATCTTTGAGGACCATCATCAATGACCATCTGGCCCCTCTGATTATTTGTGTTTGAAATGGACTTACCTTATACATCTAAAACAATGGAAGTAAATAATGCAGGTCCTTGAAAGATTTTTGATCATGTGCTATTCTCTTTTTTTTCAGAATAGAACATCTTGAACCAGACATTCTTGATTCAGTGCCTAAGGTAGTGTTTGGTCAACTGTCACCTAAGGTTGTCATAGTAACAACACCCAATGTTGAATTCAATGTCTTATTCCCAGATCTGAAGGGATTCAGACATTATGATCACAAGTTTGAATGGACCAGAGCAGAATTTCAAGAATGGTTAGTTATTGCAATAAATTAATAGTAAGTCAGAGCAGTTTTCTCTAGAGTGTCAAAAGTAACTTGCATTTTCTTTGGGTTTGCATTACTATGCTAAGCAGTTGCCTTAAAAAACTCCTACCACTTTGTCATCCATTCAAAAGTAAATCCAAATCCAATCATGACTCCCTCGTGCACATTTTCCTGCCCTTCATTCCAGATAGATGTATTATTTTGCTTTGAGTTTTGACGGGTTTGCTGCATTGTCTGTGTCCTTTGTGAATGGCCAGAGTGAATTACTTTGGTTCTGGTTTTATGACACTTGATGGACAATCCAAGCTGCTCTTCACTAACCCTAAGATTATCTAATATATCAGAGCTGTTTTCAAACACTTCACATCAATTAAGATCAATGTAAGATAACAATGTATCTTAGTCTGTACATCTGCTTTGTTACCAAATACGTTGAGTATTTCCCCAAAGGACCAGCTTCCCATCCCAAGGCCAGGGAGTAGTGATACTTGTAGTCTCTTAATGCAGACCTTAGGCACAGGACAAGCTGTCAATGATAATATAGCTGCTATGTAGTGCTCACTGAAAGTCATTCTCAGTGATCCAAAAGCAAAGAAAAGTCAAGGCAATGAAAGGACTGGACCGTCTACTTTGAAATTACTTTAATTTTTTTTTGTTAGGTCAAATTCTGTGGCTAGCAAGTACCATTACACTGTAACATTTGATGGCATTGCTCCAGGGCCAGAGGGTACAGAGCACTTGGGTTGTTGTTCACAAGTGGCTGTGTTTGAAAGGATTTCATCTTCTGTTCCAACCAATGAGTCAGGAATAGGGCAGCCTTATAATCTGGTACTACTATTGAACATTCTTGCAAACCAGGGGCATTATTTCTTAATAAATCTTTAGTTATTTACTCATCTTTTAAAGTATTCCATGCTGCAGACAATTTAAATGGTTGGAAAGCTGTTGAGCTGCATATTTGTCCATTTTTAACCACCTTGACTCGTCAGTAGAAGGGTTCCAAAGTGGACTATTTGTACTGAGAGCTTTCAACTGTCACTTTTGCTTTGGAGCCCAGAGCCCTGAAATAGTGGGCATCCTGGTAATCCAATGAGCCTTAAGATGCAGTTTTGATTTGCTGGAGTTCTGTAAACCTTGTGTGTTGTAGTCAGCACCTGTGGAGTCCTAAACTCCCTGTAGACTCTTAATTGAAATTACTTTAGAAAATAATTATGTAGCTTTGTTTTGCTATCTAAAGTTTATGAAGTTAATATCATTATTTTAAAGCATTGTTTCCTGTCCCTTTTATTATTAACATTTAGGTTGCAGAGGTTGAACACCCTTTTAGAAAGGACACAAGAACACAGGAAGAAAAAATCTTGCTTGAGGTGGAATATATTCTCTGGATGTTGTCTTCTGAGGAAGAGGAGGGTGATAACCACTTTGAGACTGATGAAGAATCGATATCTAATGATACAGACAATGTGGATAGCTATGTTGCAGACGAACTTTGTACTGACTGTGTAACTAGTGATGAAGAAAATAAAACCTGCACATACTCACTTGAACAACTGCTTAGTTTTCCATCTCTTCTAAAGTTGTNTTTTTTTTTTCATAACTTTAGATTGTTACTTGAAGTACATTTTAAAGATTTGAATGTACTTTTTCACTGAAAAGTACAGTAGAAGTAAGTGTTGCTTTATCAGGAGGTCCTATGATTATCATGACTGGTACCATGTTTTACTTTGTGTATTTTGAACCCTTCCCTGGGCCCCCACAAAATGCAATCTAGTCTAGCAAACATCTAATAGATCAAAGCATGAGTTCTGGTTTCAACAAGAGATGGAGGACAGGGTGGTAAAAACTTGGGATTAAAGGGGTGGGAAGTCTGCAGGAATTAGAAAGTGAGGGTGGGAATCAGGATTGCCAATTTTTCAGGCTGGAAAAAGTGATAGGAAAACATTTTCCAACATTTGTGTTCGATTTTTTCCAGAAGAAGTAGCACAAAGGCGTGGGAGCTTCTTGGGAAGGGGTAGGAACCAGGGCATAAGGTACATCACAAGAGAAGTGCAGACCTTTTAAGGGGAAAAGCACAGTTCACTGGCAAGTTTTTAATAGTATACGTTTTTCTTTCATCCATGAATTGGCAGGTGTGTACTCGAGGCTTCTGCTGAGTTTCATCTTACTGATGATGGATGTGGAGTCCTTTGGCAGCATCCTTCATCACAACAATGGAGCAGTGATGGGAGTGACACAGCTTGGGATGTATGTGACGAAGGTCAAGTGACAGATGAATTCGGAAGACATGCTCCTGCAAAGGAAGAACTGGAAAACTGGGATGAAGATGAGAACTTTCCATCTTCTGATGGACACAGCCTTAATACGTCAAACATGACAGAGGTCTGTTGGGATTCTGTAAGTGACTGTAAATTTTGGAATGGTAAGGACTGGAGTGAACTTGAAGAAGGTGGAGCTCAGGATGAGTTTGAGGAAGAGCACAGCATGAACATTCATTACAGAGATAATGTAACAGTTCAACAGGAGAGTGATGGATCATTGAACAATGATAGTGATGACAATGACATTGACGACCTTGTTTGGATTACAGAGAATAGTACAATAACGGATACCAACCCAAACCAATAATGCTTGTACTACCAGTAATTTTATTACACAGAAATCTCTCACTTGTTGCATTAGCCAGGATTTTAGCTCTCGTCTTCTGGTAAACCACTCTAAGTTCAACTATTGCTTATGCGCTAATGTAGAGAGTAAACTAGTTTAAGACTTCTTTAACCTAATCAAGGACTTTTATTAGCAATTGTTACTTTTGATTTAAAAACTGATCTGTGTTAATACACGTCTCACATTATTTTATTCCCCCTCCTCTCCCTGCACTCCTTTGTATGATGAACCAAAATACAGTAGCCTGCAGGATATACCTTGATTTAAATTGTTATATTATTCCTACAATTTTAAATGATGCTTTTGAATGTTTATTTTAAATCATGATAGTTGCTGTTGTAGAAGTGGATCTTTAGATAAACTGTGCAAAGTCCCTTCAATTACATTTTATTTTATTTCTTCTGTTTGCAAGATTCAATGTAACATTACATAACAAGGTTGTTGAGTTGTACAATTCATTATTCTACTTGAACCACAGCTTCTTATGTGGAGTGTACTGTTCAGTTCCCTTTTGCTAAAGCAAAGTTGTTTTGTTGAGCGGTTGAGTTATTTTCTCCTCTCTTATTGACCCAGACCATTGTACAATGTTTTCAAATAAACTGACGTAAATATTTCATTGCTGTGGTAATAAAATAATGGAAGAAAATGTAGCCCTGTTAGAAAGCATGTGTTATAAGGCCACACTTCTATGAATCAAAAGAAACACAGATCTGGTGCGAGTTGTTGACATGATAGCACATGTATTCATTCAAGCAATTTACATCTTCTTGATCAAAATAATTAATGCGATTCCTTTATTTTTCTGGCAGTGTTTACTAAATGAGATATAAACATTTTCTCTACATTTCTATGTAGTTATAAACCAAAACTCTCAAAAGCCAAGTTTGGTAGAAATCAAAAAACCTGTGGAAATACTTGCCTACAGCTCATGTTCCCAGAGCATTTTTTATTCTCTCAAACTTCTTGTGTTTTTATCACTGGATGGAAACAAAGAAAATGTTTTCTATTTTCTTAATTATATTTAGCCTATTTTGTCACAGACTGAGAACAATGTCAAATAAGCTATCCTGAAAATTATGGTGCGTGTGAGGGTTACATGGGATAGATCTAACCCGTCATTACCCCCATACTTAAGATGGGTTTGTAATTGATTTTCAAGATGGAACATAGAAGGACTACATACATATTAAATAATAAATAATTAGTATAGGTAATCATATAAATGCAAGTGCAATTAAGGATTTAAAATTCTCTCAAAATTGCACAAGCTTTTAGGTGAATGCAATTTGAAAGAATTTTCAAATATCACGAGTAGCCACTAGTGTAAGTTACTAATTGCTCAAGCTTTCATGATTGCTCATTTATTATATGACTGAGAAAAATAAGAAACCAAGTGCATTAATTTGCACTGCAGGGCAAATTAAAAATTATGATAAATTGGCCCGTTTTCAGCCAATCACAATGAAATAATCTTCTCAGTCATAATATATCTACTGATCCACTCTAACTTGCCAAAATTCCAAAATTAATAGGCCCTTAGCACGATCCGGTCAGATGGTACAAAATCACATGCTGGTGCACAAGTTGCACAGTGGGACTTCCAAAACAATGCAACTCGTACCAGTCCATCTGGACCTGCCTTTGTTTTGGAAGTCCCACTGCACGACTTGCTCACCAGCATGTGTGATTTTGTACCATGTGACCAGATCATGCAAAGGGCCTATTACTGGTAATTCTACTATTAATAACCTTGGTACATGTTTTTTACTTTAATAGTGTTGAAACCCAGCGGCCCACCAAAAGACCTAAAGCTTGACATAGAAAGTTTCCAACAACAGCCCCTATGACACTTCCAATCCCCGGAAAATAGTAATAGCCTAATGCTGCCCCTCCCACTCCTCCCACAAATCCTGACACAATGGGTGTCACTCTTTTGGCTTTGATCTTTTCAGCATCCACAGGTGTCACATGACCTTTGCTTCTTGCATGATCAGCCGTTAGGACCACAAAAGCAATCCATACAGCATCCTGAATGAGTCCCACTAAGACACCCACAGCGTGTCCGATAAGTAACATTGATGTCTGAGCTATTAATCCCGTAGCTGTAGCAACAACGAACACAACTCCCCCAAATAGGCTCTGGAGGATTACTAACAACAGTCTTCCGATTGTCCACAGCACATCATAAGCTTGATAGCTTTCTGGCTTACCGGCTTTGCATTCTCGGCAAAAGTGCTCACAGTTACTTGTAAACGCGTTGTAATCGCGCTCTCCCATTCGCTTTCTCGCCCGACGGACCACCTCATCCGAGGAGAACACCACTTCCCCGTCCACGTTATCCGCAGGGGGGTATTCTATCCGGTATACTACTTGCTCTGGTTCGAGAAGAAATTTAGTCCTTACGACTTCAGCTTTGCCCGTAGGGTTGCTTTCACCGATAGATCGCAAACCGATCTCCATATCACCAGTCTTGTGAATGACCCACGCAAAATTTGGCTTAACTTTTTCAACGATAAAGTGATGCCAGTAGCCGAAAGCACTTTCTTCCATGACATGATCCCCTTTACGAAGCTGTGCTAGTGACGTAATCTTCGTCCGTGGAGAAATTCTGCCGAATTGAACCGGCGGTCTTGATTCCTCGAGGTTGAACATCGATGCGCCTTTCCTTGTGTCCTCTGGGAACAAGATTGAGCGGCGATAGCAAGAATTTCAAAACAAGTGTGCTGCTTGAGAACTTTGTACTCTAAAACATCACAGCTGACACATGTCATCTACACCTTGATACGGGATATTTCCTCACTTGTCGCTTGTGAAATGTCTCTTGGACACGCGGCTATTAAATTTGCATAAGAGCCACATCGTGCCCACACATGGGCTTTTCTTCAACCATATAACATTTGTAAAACATTAGAAATTCCCACGCATTCGTTTCCAAGAAGCTTGGTTCCAATGACTAATGGTTCAGAAGATATTCAATTATTCACCAGTCAGATTGCAGTTGAAAAACACAAACTGCTTGACTAACCTCAGCATATAAATGTGTATCAAAATTTTCAAAAGGAAATTGAAGCCAATTTCTCCAGTTTTCCTTAAAATAACTCCAAGCAACCGGTTAATTTTCGATTTCTGACTCCCCGCTTGGCTCGTTTTGTTCGAAATACAATCAGCGGTTTGTATTGAATTAAGTGATAGATGCTTCATGTAGAACAACGCAGATTGTACCGGACCACAATTGGCTGTGTACGCTCAAATGCGCTGTACATGAAGTAGTCCTAGTAATTCAAAGATGGCGGACGAGGATGTAGAGGAACTTGAACAGAGTTTATCACAATTTGTAAGTCTTGCAGCTTGAATGTGGTTAATAAGCAATCCGTATTCTCATACCTATTTCTTTCTGTAGCGCACAGAGGAACCAAATACCCACCTCATCTTAGTAGCTGCTCAGAAGTGCGTCAGTAATGGAAAGTGGAAACAGCTTGTGGAAAGTTTTACTCGGCCTGAACATAAGGTTTGAAATCATTCATAACGGATCATGGTTTCTATTTTACGCCAACCTAAGTTAACCAAATAGTCCATAAATATACTGAAAAACAAGAAAGTGTGCTAATTTTTTTTATTATTGTTCTGTTTAGTGGGGAATTTGATTGTAATTAAGCTTAATAAGCTTATCTTAAATTTTACCTGATTTCACTGTATGTCATGTACTCGTTATGTTAAAGGATGCTTTGGAATTTGTTGGCTGGGAACTTATTGGAGTCATATCTCAAGCAGTTGTTGATGAGTTTGAATCAGATGCTTTTCAAGAGTGCAATAAAATTCTCAAAATAATTGCTGAGGTGAGGAAATAAAATTAATTGTACATGTTACTGAACAGCATTTAAGTATCTTTCAATCGTATTAGGAAATAAATAACGGAACAATGTTTACATGGCCTGATCCAGACACAAAAGAAAGTTTGGTAAAAGTTATGTGAGCCCTCATCTACTACTTGGGTTTACATAATTTTTGCCCAAAAGGGATGGCTAATTTAGCAAAAGAACAATATTTTAAGTCTGCAAGACATAGTTCAATGAACCACCTATCATTTTCAGGTAAAAGCCATGTTCAAATTTGAATAATCATTAATGTTTATTTAAATACAGATATGAAGTAATGGATTAGGTCAGTGGACCATTTCCGAGTTTCTTTTACCTCTGTTTTAAACCTTTCACATGGAAACAAGTTTGATTTGCAAGGCAATGAATGTGAAAGAACAGGGCTGTGCTCTAGAAGTGTCACAGGCAACTAACTTTTACCTTTGGGCGACAGGGAAACTCTTTTCTTTTTTCATATAAGCTTTAGAACTGAGCACCCAGGATTTCATGGTTAGGATCCTTTGGGCTCCTCAAAATTTTAGACCACAGTCCTTGAAGAAATCTCATTTCCATATGGAAGGTTGTGCACCATAAGACTCATTTTAAAACAGAGGTAAAAGCAACTCGGGAATGGCATATTCAAGTAGTGCCCGGGGTAAGGACAAATAACTTATATGTAGGTAAAATACCCCATGGTGAGAACACTATCTACACCACTGGCTTTGGCAAATGTTATTTAATGAAAATGATAATTCATCTGATACTGACAGAGATGCAGTGCAAAGGAGGTCTGTATTGGGATATTAGAGCAGCTTGAATCTGAGACAGCTTGCAACTTGAAAAAGTTTGTTGCTTTGTTGGAAGCACTTCAAATAGGTAGGTGAATCAAAATACAATTAAAGTATTACTGAATTGGAGTACTTTATCTTTTTAGGACTTCCATAATAGATATTAGCTAATTAATTGCACAACTGTAAAATATAATTATCAGTTTTTCTAAGTTACAGACACAGTGATTGTTTTTCTCTCATGTTTCATTATTTAATATTACTGAACCAAGTAAATCCATTAACTTGTAATAAAACTCATTGAAATAAGTACTTGGAGTTTATAATTTTATAATAAAATTTATTTCCTGTTTTGCAGCAATAGACAGGTTGAAGGAGAGGAAATCAAAACTTGTTGGTATGGTGCTACCTTGCATTACTCAATATATCAGAGGTATTCAATTAGCAGATGAAATAGTGGATCAAAAAGAGTCTGGCAGTAGATGTCCAGCAGTGCCATGTGTTATGAAACATGTACTGGATTTTCTCAGGCCATTTGTGCAAGAAGTCAATATGAAGTCATCATCCTCAGAAATAGTAAGTTATAGATAACTTTTGCTATTAATTTGCTATTATCTATTATTGATCATGGATGTTGTTTCAAAATGAATTTGTACTTTATGCACATGGTCAAAGCATTACTTTATCTGTAAATCAACAGAGATCAAAACTGGCACAAGATATTGCAGGCAAAATGTTTGTGCAAGCAAATAAATTTTACCTTTTGATGATCAAAATGAACAAGTGATTTTTATTTCAACTTCTTGCAGTGTTTTCTGAAAGAATTAGAAACTACATGTACTTTCTTTGTGTCTCCACTGAGTTAGAGAAACACTTGTGAGAACTACAAAAATGTTGTGGAAATACTCTCCTATACATCATATTCCCACTGCATTCTTGAGATTTCTATCACATGATAGTTGATGAGGGTGCAGCCCTCGTCAACTATCACACATAGAAATCAGGAACAAAATTTATTAATAAATAAATCTAAATATTGTTTTAGTATAAATCTACCAGTCGTTCAAAAGTTAAACAACATTCCTCTTCAGAGACTCTTTGAAAACCCCACAAAGCAGCTGCCACTTTGTTGACAATCACGCAGTGCCAGGTTACTCATAACATAGCTAATCAGAGAACAGCATTTGTAATAGTACCCTGGAAGATTTATACTAAGATTTGATAGAAACCTGGAAAATGTTTGCCATTTCTTAAATAGTAACAAAATAATATTGTTTCTAATCTGTTGTTATTGCTAAATATGTTTGTTTATCTTTTAGTCTTCCTCAAGTTCATACATCACTAGTTTGAAAACAGACATTAGCAAATGGTAGGTACAAAATTGTGCTCATTTTCAGTATTCTTTTTATTTTGTACTGTGTAGCTCTGATGAGCATCTTTATCACATTTGGGAAAAATATGTTTAAATTTCAATTGAAATATACTGATATTGAAGTAATTTTTTCTTGATCTTGGATGTTGCTTCCAAATAAATTTATACTTTTTGCACAGTAACAACATCATCAGTACAGTTAGAAGTGTCTACAGTAGTTTAATTCACAGGGGATGCAAGCAGCGAAAACTGGAAGTATCCCTCCACGCAGAGAGTTTTGTCTACAGTTTGCAATAGCATGAGTTCCTGTCATAGAAAGTGTTATCAGTCGGTTATCATCTCTTCTAATGAGACACCTGCCAAATGTTGTCGTCAGATCTGTGTCCAACCTATTTACTGCGTAAGAACTTGTTGCGAAATCTTGTGGTGGAAAACAGGATTGTCATGGCGCCAAGGAAAGGGTTCATGCTCTTCACTTGCGTCATCAACGATAATGTATTGTACTTGTTCTTGCAATACTGGTGTGTCCTAAGTAGCTGTATTTGTATAGAATGTCCTGGTCAATTCTTCAAGAAAAATTCAGCTGTGTCAAGTTTCCCAATGAATTTAAGAGCGATTGGAAAGAAGATCACTTCGGCCAGCTGATAGAGACAATTATGACGGTAAGGCCTACTCTGAATATTTCGAAATTGTGGCTTTCATTTGGTTCGCTGGCCTTTTTGTTATGCTAACGGCTAGAAAATAACTTGTCATCAGAAACAAGTGCATTTGTGTGTTTAAAATTGTTCAACAACATTTGCAAATTGCATGTTCAGTGACCGGTGGATGAGAGAAAGGTCAACAAAAATAGATTTTGCCATAATGACACCAAAAGCTACTGGAAAGAGAGGTTGTGCTTGCCCCAAGGTCTCGCCAAATCTGCAATAAATTTGTCAGAATGCTGACATCGATACACAGCTTAATGTTTTGTTCATCAGAACAGTGGGTACACACTTCGTACAGTTCCATGTAATGCGAAAGAAATAATCACACGGCTTAATGTTTTGTCCATCAGAACTGGCGGGTACACAACTCATACAGTTTGATGTAATGCGAAAGAAATAATCATGTGGCTTAATGTTTTGTCCATCAGAACTGGCAAGTGACCCACCTCATACAGTTGGATTTAACACGAAAGAAATGATCACGCAGCTTAGTGTTTTGGCCATCAGAACTGGCAGGTGACACACCTCATACAGTTTTATGTAACGCGAAAGAAATAATCACACAGCTTAATGTTTTGTCCAGCAGAACTGGCAGGTGACCCACCTCATACAGTTCAATTTAACGCTGAAGTAATAATCACGCAGCTCAATGTTTTCTTTGATGTAACATGGCGCTACTGTGAATCATTTGCTAGTGCATCAATGAGCCAAATAGCAAGCACAAAACACTGTCCATATCTTCCACTACCAGCTGGATCTAGAGAAAAGTATTCAAGGTATTCTGGGTTCAGTTCCCTCAGATTGATTTTGGATTCATTGGACACATGTTTTTCTGTGAGACCTTCATTGCGATTTTGTTTACAATAATAAAATTATTAGTTGTTGTTCCTCTTGAGGGTATTTTCACTTCAGATTGCTTTAAAGGCTTCCCTGTTTTTTGGAATCTTTTGAGAAGGTAATGCATTTTGAAGGAGACAAGAGAGGTTTTCCTTGTTCACTTGAAGTTCCAATTGCTAAACTAGTGCTTCAGCGTTCGCTTCCTGTCATGTAGTGGTCTCTGCAGATGTATCCATTTGATCATTATTTCATCTGTCACACAAGGGACCTGACCGAATAAAGGAACTTATGTCTGTGTGTGAAACAAGAGCACGCATCAATTATATTTTGATGGCATATATTAGTTGGTCCTTTGTATTTCTCTGTTCTCAAATTTATTCCCCTTCATCTGGTGTCCTTCAGATCTAATGACATTTATATGACAGTGAAACAGATTATAACACCTTGCTCAGCTCAAGGCGAAGGAGCCTGGGGTTAGGTATGTTAGGAATGCTAGGAAACTTTCCTAGCATTCCTCTGTGATACGTCCAGTTTTTGCCGCTTGTGTCCCCTCATGCAGTGTTTTTGTTTGCAACCAGAGATTAGTATTTTAGCAGTTAGCAGTTAGTGATCAGTGATATTGTTACATTTCAGTTCATCGCTCTCAAGTGATGGCACACTCGTCTGGTGGTTGATTTTTTTTAGTTTCAATCATAGTGCACTTGTAGCATGTAATCTAGTATGCATCGCATGATGTGCAGAACCTGCATGCTATAACAAAAGTGGGCACTGTCCTTTGGAAATGTGGTTAAAGACGCCCTCTTGTGTTTGATGCCATTATTAAAAACCAAGATTTTAAACCAGGTCACATTTAAAAAAGGTCCAAAATTGTACTTTGTTTAATTACATATACTTATTGATCACTTTCGTGCAGCTTGATTCAACTCCTGGATTACCCACTAGTTTTCTTAGATTTAACAAAGGATGGTATAGAGACGACGGACTCGGATGACGAGAACAGTGAATCAGATCCCAAAAGCAAATCTTCTTCAGAGATATCATCCTACAGACAGTTTGCACAAGAGATTATGGTATGTATATCTTTCACTGTCAACGTGTATATTGCATAATAAGTGACAATAAAAAGTCAAAAAATGAATTAAAAGATAGAGAGGTGTTTGCAGTAAAGTTGCTAAAAATGAAAGTGTTATGACTTAATAACTGACTTAATGAAAAGTACAAGCGTACCAATGACCATGAAAATAGGTTCATTGTGCAGTTTGCAACATTTCTTGTAATGATAAGTTAATAAAGNCATCTAAGAAATTGGTAGGTACTTGTCGAGCTCTTCTTTTCAATGACTGTTAGTCAGTGTTACCTGTGCATACTAAGGGATGTTTTTTGGTTTTTTTTTTTTGCTTCGTAGAGGTTAAAGGGAGTTCGAGTCCTCCCAAATCTGGTGTCAAAACTAGACACGAGGAGTCAATACGGATTGTTGTAGTAAGTGTTGCTCATGTCAAGTCAGATTAAGGTAATAAGGTGTGTGGCTTGTTCTTGTAGCCAATATAACGCGCGCTCTGATTGGCTAATTGTAGGTCATAATTCTTCCGTAATGCCCAGGGGCCGATTACGGACTCGCAAAAACAAAGCAAAAAGCATATAATAAACCACTTATTAACCTCGAACGTTCGGTCTTAACAAAAAAAAATCTCAAACCTCGACCTTGCCGTATTGACCTCGCTGTCGCTCGGTCAAAATGGCAAGGTCTCGGTCTGAGATTTTTCCCGTAAAGACCTCACTCTCGGTTGATAAGTAGTTACCAACTGTCCAAAAGACGTCAACTGAACTTTGTCTAGTTAGTATCTGTTTCTGTAAGTGTTTCAAGGCAACTGATTTTGAGCTTGCACATAGAGTTCAAACTTCTTTGTTCCTCCATTTCCGTCTTTTATTCCAATTTGCTGACCATGCAGTATTATAGCTGACAGTTTGAAACCTTTTCTCTCGCAGCACCATTCTTCAAGACTGCAGCCATCCTGGAGTGGCTGGACTGATGATTTATCTCTTAAAGGAACAAGTTAACCAAGCCCTTGGTGTAAGATGTAACCTCTTGTTACTTGCTACTTGAACTAAAGATAAGCTATGAAGATGTATTATAAAATGCTTATTTTAAGAAAGTGTCGTACTTTCTTGTAAAACACTAAATAACATTCATAAATAACGCAACAGACAAATGAAACCAGTGCCAAGCGTAGGAAAACTCGCGCGAGCCTGGTCTTGATTGAGGGTGGTTTTGGTTTTGCTTCATTTGACTGTCGAAAAGTGATTGGTTTTGTATTACTGCGCTACACGATTGGGTTAAAAAACTCCCGCCACCTTTTTCATCCATTAGAAGAAAAACCAAAACCAATCATAACTCGTTTGCACGAGTTTTCCCGCGCTTTACGTCAACTACGTGTAACGACTTCGAGTTTTGATTGGTTCACTGTATTGTCTATGTCCTTTGTGAATGGCTAGAGTGACAACTTTGGTTTTGATCATACGACGCTCAATTGAAAACCACTGTAACGGCTTGTTTGATTGGTCAGAGTACATAGGAAGAACCAGTCATAGAATTCGGCAAATCCAAACCCAAACCAAACACCTAATGATTACTTTCGACAGCATAAAACTCTGCTTGAGTAACTTTCATTGGGAAAAAAACAACAACAACAAAGCTCAAACAACTCCGCGCACGACGCGCGTGACGCGCACGACCAAGGAGCACCACCTGGGGACGAGATAATTACCTTCCTTGTATCATTTGTTTGTAGTCGTCAGTAGATGAGGCCTGGTTCCAAGGCAGTCGTCTGATGTCAATACTTCAGCTAGTTTTCAAACCTCCCTCAGAAGCAGGGACCGAAAAGGACCTGGTGCAAGAAACCGATAGGTAAATCAATCCGAATTTAAAATGTCAAGGTTCCAGCGCCTTTCCAACCTTGTCAATTAAATAAGGGTTCTTTTTCTTGCGTTTTGCAGTCATAGTCATAGTAATTTTTCTTGGACAATTCTGTCCAAGGGGGAAAGGTGCAATGAGGTTAACCCTATGTAAAGCACCAACCCGTGAGACAAGGCCAAACCACAACACCGGGAACTCCGTGCCCTACTCTTTTCGATCTTTTTATTTTCTGTCATTTAACCCTGCTTTTAAACCTTCTTGATCTCTTTTCTTAGGATTATGGCAGCTCTTAATTGCTTGAGGTTTATCCTTCTTAGAGACGAGAGTGACAAGGTATAGCATCATATATGTCCGATCTAAATTGCGGCATCATCTACCTCTTCATTAACATAATGGTGATTACTTTTTGGACGCTTTTGTACGTCTGTAAATTGGGTTCCCTGTTGCGCTCAAAGGAGGTCTGACAGGTATAACTGCGCGGAGTGGTCTTACCTGTCGAGCAACAGAAGAAGCCAATTCAAAGCTGTCAAAAAGATGGCTATGGGCCTACGTCTGGAAAGCGCAGCGTTGGGTTCTCTCAGGAAGGGTCGCAAAAACCAAACGGACGAACGAACGAACGAACGTATAGGAAAGTTGGAATTTCGATTTCGGAACGTTCTGAGTAATACGTTACTCATTGTAAGTTTACTTTTAATTGTAATTTTAGCTTTTTAGCCTTGTTATTCCGTTTTTAATCTTGTCAAGCGCATTTGAACATTTTATGAAATTTGCGCATAGGGTGGCAACGAGGCTCTTTCAGTCTAACCGGTCTTTTGCGGCCTTCTCGATTGTGTTCCAACATAGATGATGTTGTTGTATCTCTTCCTCTACTGTCCTGCGCCATGTGGACTACTCGTAGTCTATTTTTGGTCTGCCCCTTTTCCGATTTCCTTCTGGTGTCCAATGCACAGCAGTCTTGGTGATAGAAGTTCTTTCCCTCCGTAATACGTGCCCAATCCACCTCCAACGCTGTTGCTTCAGGATTGTTCTCATTTCATCCTGTTCAGTCTTTTGTAGAAGGTCCTTGTTTGAGATTACATTACTATTAGCTCTTAAATTCCGCCAGTAGCTGAAATTACATTTTGCAGGAGCGTCAATTATTGCTGTTCATTCAGACTTACATAAATTCATGGCCATTTTATTATTATTATTATTTTATCAACGACAGACAAGAGTTTGGGAAAACTTTACAGCCATTGAAAAGGATTTCATGGAGCCTCTGAGACAGGTATTAACAGTAACCAGAATACAATACCAAGCAGAGCTTACAAACAAGCGGGATGAAATGGCTGGAAATAAAAGTAAGAATGTTTTGCCTAATGATTAGAAGTCGAGCCATTACTAACTAAAATCCCTTCTTCCTAGTTTCAAATCCTTCCCGGCTAGAAGCCTATTAGTTTGGTGATACTCCAGATATAAACCCACAACTTCCCAAATTTAGTGGAGGCGCGGTGGCCTCTAGCTCATGGTTAGTGAGCTCGACTCTGGATCGAGCAGACCGTGTTCAAATCCTGGCCTGGGTCATTGCATTGTGTTCTTGGGCAAGACACTTTATTTAACTATCCCATTTTTTTATGCATCCGGATTCCATGAAATGTTTTTATTGCAAAAATTGAGGGACCTTTTTTTTGTATTCATTAGGTAAAAAGGCGCAGCAGGGAATAGAATTTAGTGTTAAGAGTCCTGATGGAAATTCACTAGGACTATTGCCACTCAGTGACCAGTGCGAGGTGAGTTCGTAATAGTAATTCCTCTTTCTGATTCTCATACATTTCTTGTGATTGTTACATTAACAATCTTTGTTCTTCTAAGTTTGATTTTAGAACACTTAAGGCCAAGTCCGATAGGAAATCGAGCAATTTCAGTTTTTAATGGACAAAAACCTTGTACCAGAATAACTCTAGGTATATTGCCGTCCTTTTTGCATTTCTTAAAAGCTAAAATATAAATAGTTGCTTGAAATAACACAGAAAAACAATTTCCCATGGGAATTCGAGAAAATAAATTTCAAAGTTCAGAGAAATTGTGCAAACACAGGAAGAATTTCATGATCAGTTTTATTTCACCAGTACTATCAACTGTTTCATAGGACCTGCAAATTTTGTTTTGTTAGAAATGATTTCTTTTGAGAAAATATTTAAAACAGTCACATATAAGTTAGCAATACAATGTAAATAATCTCGGTACAAAGTTTTTGTCCGCCTGTTACTCTAACTTGTGGTATATTTCTTCTTCATTCCTCTGTCTTATTCTCATACATTTCTTGTAATGCCGCCGTTTGTTTTGAGCCGAATTTGTAGGTACATCAACACCATATTCCCTTGTGTTCTATTCCTTAACTTCTTTGTTCTTATAAATTCGATGTTAGTTCCTGCGAATGATAATTAAGTCTAAAGGCTTAATTTGGTAAAAAAATTCGTGTAAAAGCTTCTGAAAAGTCACTGAAGGTCTGAAAGGATCTTACAAGAATCTTATTGACAGTCGTTAAGTTCCTCGTGTTTAATCCTAAGCTTCTTCCACTCTGTTCCAGTTTGATTGTCAAAGCCATTCGTTGAACTTCAATTGAATGTTTGAAGTTCAATAATTTTCTGCTTGTTCTAAATGATTTAATATTCAAATGTGCTTTTAAATTCATTTTTCGCCTGTGTTTGATTTGTACGAAGGCGCTGCAATCTGGCCTGTACTCTTTGGACATGATGGAGAGTGTGTTGGCCAGAATCTCAGAAATTGCGAGCAGTAGAGCCAGAGGTGGAAAATGAGATTCCTTGGAGTCTGCGTCGCGATGTGACCGGCGTGTTGCCTGCAGCGGGGTCAGTGTGGTGAAAGCTAATGAAGATTTTCCAAGACGTGGAAAGATACCCGGAATTTCGAGTGACACAGTTAAACAGTATCAACTGTATCAATTATCCATCTCTGACTCGTAGCGGGTTGAAGACAACATTCAAGTTTCAGATAACAATCACGCGCCCTTACCAATCACGCGGTAGTGAACAGTCGATAGGAACTTTCACATGCGTGTATAAACTATGCATGAACTGTTAATGAACACTGATTTCCTCGCGCATTATGAAAACGCTAATCAAAGACATTACACAGAGCTAAGGCATCAGTGCGACATTTTCGCCTCGAACGTATTAAGAAGTGTCTCTCTCGGTACGCTCCATGATAGCTGTTACTTGGGTCATTAAGAGGAGTGTCCAAGGGTGATAGGGTATTTTTGGGGCACGGGTCGGTTACTGTTGTACTGCAAGTAGAGGAGAAGGTGCTTTTCAATTCTCTCCCTGGTCCTCACTATACCAATTCAATTTAGGCAGCGCTCCAAGCATATTACACCCCCACCGTAGAATCTCAGTAATAGGCCCACCCAAAAATACCCCCTTACCCTCCAACGAAAGCCCCTGACTCACTGTCCGGCGTAAAAAGCGCTCCCCTGAATATAGGCTCATGGACTGATATTTAGTTTAACCTCCCCCACCCCCCACCTGAGACTTTTTAGAAAAATGTTCAGGGACATGTAATGTCCACTTGGGCACTGTAGAGCTTCTCTTTTGCTTCATATCGTCAGTTCAGAGGGTTTTACCAAGTATTATTCTTATTTTCACCAAAGCAAAATTCAGATGCAAGATTCCTACCAAGTATAAACCCATACAATTTTTTAAACGACATATATAGTAAGTGTAAGACTCCTTTAAATCGCGCCCACCTGAAAGTAAGATCACCATTTAAGATGTTAAGCAAAAGTCTAGTCGAGAGCTCATTATAAGAAAATTTAAAGGTAATGTCAACAAGGTGTCTTAAAAAGTGTTAGCCCTTCCTTGGAAACCCAGAGACAATTAATTGAGGCGGGACGAAGTGAATCGGGCAAAAATTTAAAAGCACGCCAATCTTGTAAACTTTTGCCGCCGCAATTTTTGCCGGGTTTCGTCCAGCTGTTAAATTTACAGTGGTCAAAGAATGTTAAGGTGAAAACTTTCACACCCATAATTGTTTCCTGTTGCCCATAACTTTACAAACAGCGGCCAAAATATAAGAAAAACTGAAGTGATTAGGTGGGCTGATAAAAAAGGACATCTAACCGCTTTTCAGCTCAGCAACTGTCAAGCAGACGCTAATTACAATGGTGATATTAAAATTTGATACTTATTATTTGATAACGCCGTTTCACAGAAGCGGCAACTTTCTACATGATATTGAGTCCTAAGCAAGGACAATACCGATCTAGATAATGAACTATAAACTAGTACATAACCAGTGTACGTTTTTCTGAAAATGATGTTAAAATCGGTCTAGTGCACTGAACCAACCAATAAGGTTTGTCACAAAACGGCTTCGAAATAAAGAAATTTTAGATATCTTTGTTTCGTATGATGTTTAAGGTCCGACAGTGAGTGGGAATCGAAGCCGGCTGCACCGGTAAGCGGAAATAATCAAGGAAGCAAACTGCTAGAATGGAAGACAAAGACAAAGACGTCTGATGGTGAAGAGAATGAAATAACCAGGTCTATTTTGGGATCGCAAACCGCTGAAGAACTGGAAAATCAACATAGTTCTGCAGTTAAGAAAAAATGAACTATCACAACCCAAAAGGAAAGCAGAGGGACTGACAAGAAGAACGCCGTCACGAAAGGAGCTTGAATTGCCAACCGTTCAACCACCGTCAGCTCATGGTCTACGCAAAACAAAAGGTGAGTTCCGCACGAAGTAAATTTGAAAGCATGGCTCTATATGGTGATAACTTTGAGCGTTCAACGAAAACACTAGCAATAAAAAATACACTTAAATCGATTGATGGAACCGGAAAACATGGTGGCAACTGCTTAGAAAGCATGGAAAATGCCAGTGTTAGGTCGCCAGTGTTTTGTGGACCTTGCTTCAGGCCGTGGTCAAGAGGAAAGAAGGAGACAAGGAAGTACATCACACGGGGCCACTACAACCAACAAGAAGCAAATGTTCAGTGATTCTATTTAAAGCATCAGCGCTCAAGGAGCGATTGTTTCAACCTAACTAAGGTTCTAAGCGAGGTTCACGAGATCAGCAGGTTCAATGAAAACCACGTCAAAAACGAATTGGTTCCCACGACGACGAGTTTTGAAATTTTGATGCCAGCACTAGTTAATAGAGGGGACCCGTCTAGTAGCTACATGTAAGCAGAGGTCCTGGGAAACAAAGGATTGGCCCAGAGAGAATGTCTGACGAGCGATTTCCAGTCAACGTGGACGCTTCCAAAAAAGATGTTCCCTGTGAGAAGGGAACAATGCTTGAAAAGGCTTCTTCGGCAACAACTTATGTCATGTTACGACTTAGGACCTGTTATTGAGCCTTTTGACGTGATTGTGGAGATGCATTGAGTCGCAAAAGCCCGCTCGGACAGGTGAAGGTTACACCTGATTTTCCAACAAGGAAA